GGACGGGCTGGGGGCGCTCCGTCCTTGGGCATGCGCCGGCTTCCTTCCTTTGGCCTCTTTGGTCTTTTGCCTGTTAAAAGAAAAACGCCAGCAGATGTTTTGGTGCTCTGCAGAAGTGTGTTTGCTGTAGCCTCAGCGGGGGTCAGCGGGAAGCAGATCTTGAGGTTTTTTGTTCTGCTATGGGTGGAGGTGTGGGTTGAATGGCTTCTTCCCTTTGTGTGCCTTAACTGTGATCTACATATGGAAGGTCAGATTTGGTTTTTGCCTCGTTCCCTTCAGCTCAGTAGTTTCCAAGCTTACAAGCTAAGGGTCACACATCTGTACCAGCTGAAGCAGCACAGTATCTTGGTTTCTGTTGGTGAAGATGAGGAGGGTATTAACCCCTTGGTAAGTCACACAACAGGAGGGAAACAAAGTTGGATTGTGGGTCTTTCTTAGGACTATTGCAAATACCTTGGTTGACTTTTTCTTACCTCACGTAGCATGCTCATTCTGGGTACTGTTGCATTTGATGCCAGGTCTCGGCTTCCTAATGCCTCACGTTTTGCTTACATTGGTCCGTCATTGTTTGTAGGTTAAAGTCTGGAACCTGGAGAAACGAGATGGTGGCAATCCTCTCTGCACCCGAATTTTTCCAGCGATACCGGGTAACAAGCCCACAGTTGTATCCTGCCTAACTGTCCACGAGAATCTTAATTTCATGGCTATTGGTAAGTAAAACTGAGCTGTAACAGCTTAAGAGAAAGATTCCGATCCTTACTCAGATACAAGGAAAATGAATAGGTAGCACTGAAGCCAGCACAGAACTTTCTGACAGTTTTTCTTCTCACTCAGTTTTTTGCGTGATTTATATGTTATATATAGAGATATTGTATCTTGCACTGTCGGAGAGCTTGAGGAGGTAAATACCTAAATTTAGCTTGAGCCTGTCTGTAGTATAGGAATAACTGCTACCTAAAAAGGAAGCACATATTTTCAGTTGGCGTCATCTTTCGCTTCCATTCAATAAGGCTGCACATCTGTTGAGCTCGTGCTAAACTGAGCTTTTGTTGCAGTGTAGGGATCCTGGACGTTTCAGATAGATTTTTTTTTTTTTTTAATTTTTATTTTTTTTCCCCCGAGTGCTATATAGAAACCTTTTTTTCAAAGAAAAAGAAGCCTGTTTCTCTTTTTGGATTTAACCACTCCTTTGTAATATTTCTTGCTTTGTTGCTGACAGAGTAAGATCAGTAATGCTTTGAGGTTACAAGCACTTTCTGTGTTGGTGTTGTGGCCTTCCACCCCGGAACAGTGTGGGACCGGGTCTGTCAGCAAGCTGTGGGAACTGCACACTTCACTTGCTCTAAGGAAACCGGCTAGTGTTTTTACAGTGTGTAGTATGTTTTGAATAAGCAAGAGAATGAAAACTGCCATTGCTATTGGTGAATGAGAAAGCTATTTGTAAAATAAAATACAGGCAGACTCAGCTGGTGGTTTGCATGTGGAAAGCGGGTTAAACCTTGGTGAGCAGAGACATCCTGCGTGCAGGCGTTCCGGTTCAGAGCCGTCACCCGGGTGTAATCGGGGGTGGTTTGCCACATGCTTCTGGGCAGGGGAACCTGCGGCACTCCTACGGCTTCGTACCTGGCTGGCGAGCGAGGAGCCGTCACTGGCTGGCGCTGCCCTAACTTACACTGCATAACATGGCTGGTATGACATGTAAGTAATGGTTTAGTTTTTGCCCTTTGCCAGGTTTTGCAGATGGGAGTGTTGTACTTACAAAAGGAGACATCACTCGAGACCGACATAGTAAGACCCAGATCCTCCATGAAGGTGCTTTTCCGGTTACTGGCCTTGCTTTCCGACAGTCTGGCAAAACAACGCATCTGTTTGTGGTGACCACAGAGAACATCCAGGTGGGAAGTTAATTGGAAAAAAAACAAGGCTCCAACTTGCAAATTGCATTGTCTTTGGAATCTAGTTTGGAGTGATCCCTAAAACCTGGTGTTTCCTCTGTAGTCTTATATGCTTTCAGTGAAAGACTATCCTCACCTGGAGCTGGACACTCACGGTTGCGGATTGCGCTGTTCATCACTCAGCGACCCCTCCCAGGATCTGCAGTTCATTGTGGCAGGAAATGAGTGTGTGTACCTTTATCAGCCAGATGAACGTGGCCCCTGCTTTGCCTTTGAGGGACAAAAGCTGATTGTTCACTGGTATAGGGGATACCTCGTCATTGTCTCCAAGGACCGAAAGACATCTCCAAAGTATGGCTCTTTGGAACAAAGTTCTTTTCGCACTTGCAGCTTCCTGCTTTCCCTCTTTTTCCTTCTTCCTTGCTAAGCTTCATTTGTGGGGGATGATTGCAACCTTATCAGAGGTTGTTAAGATTCCTCTGGACCCATATATCAATTAACTTCCATTGTGAGGGTAGCACAGTTAAAACATGCTGAACGAGGGGGATTTTTTCCAGTCCCATGAGTTGCTTCAGTCTAACACATGGATGGAATTACTGTGTTACATGGTGTTTGGCCTCTGGGTCTGCTTAGTTTAATTGCCCTAATGAGCCCCCTTTGTCTTGACTCTGGATGTCCTTAGTTTACATAGATGTCAAGACTTTGAATTATGTTCTCCTTGTTTTCTAAAACATTCTTCTGCTCTCCAGGTCAGAGTTTGCTGGAAGTGAGGCGCAGAATTCGGACAAACAAGTCCTGAACATCTATGACTTGTGCAACAAATTCATTGCTTACAGCTCGATCTTTGATGATATAGTGGATGTCTTAGCAGAGTGGGGTTCTCTGTACGTGCTGACCAGAGATGGGAAGATTCATGTACTGCAGGAGAAGGATACTCAAACCAAACTTGAGGCATGTAAATCTGTGTTGTTATTAGTCTCTGCCTTATGATTGTACTGGCTCTGCAGATTGAAAAGTTGAACTGTTCAGGTAAGTGAGTTACATAATGAGTGACTCAATAGCTTTTCAGCGTAACTGGTAGTATTGGGTATTTGGTATTTAAAGCCTGAGCACGTGTATGCAATCAGCACCAGAATGAAGAAACTACTTTTTTTCCAGACATGTCTGAACTTGATTTGAGGGGTGGCATTTCATTCATAGTGCTTTTACTGTGTATTTAACAGATGCTGTTTAGAAAGAACTTATTTGAAATGGCCATTAACCTGGCAAAAAGCCATCACTTGGACAGTGATGGGTTGTCAGAGATTTTCCGTCAGTATGGCGATCATCTGTACAACAAGGGGAACCATGATGGAGCCATCCAGCAGTATATCCGGTAAGCAGGGTCCTAAGGAGCCATGAGAGTGTAGTACAGATAGGGGCAGCAGAGGTCTTGATTACTATTTCAGCCCAGGTGACGTACAGAAACAGACTCTATA